ATAAGCTCCTTGGAAGTGAATTTGAGATGAAGGAACTGGGTGAGTTACAATACTTTCTTGGCATTGTGGTTGCTAGATCTAAACATGGCATATTTCTATCCCAAAGAAAGTATGTGTTAGATTTGTTGACAGAAACAGGAATGCTGGATTGCAAGCCAGCTGACACACCTATTGAACAGAATCACAAATTGGGAATGTATCCAGATCAAGCTCCTAGTGATAAAGAAAGGTATCAAAGGTTAGTTGGGCGATTGATTTATCTATCCCACACACGCCCTGACATAGCTTATGCTGTGAGTATGGTAAGCCAATTCATGCATCAACCAAGTGAAGCTCACATGAATGGAGTAATACGGATAATGCGATACTTGAAGACTGCCCCTGGAAAAGGATTGATGTTCTCCAAACATACACACATGGATCTTGAAGGATACACTGATGCTGATTGGGCAGGGTGTATCACGGATAGACGTTCAACTTCTGGATATTTTACATTTGTGGGTGGTAACTTAGTTACTTGGAGGAGTAAGAAACAAAGAGTTGTAGCAAGATCCAGTGCTGAAGCCGAGTTTAGAGGAATGGCTCAAGGAGTATGTGAATTGCTTTGGTTGCGGAGATTACTAAAGAATCTTGGCATTAAACAAGTGAATGCCACAAACCTATATTGTGACAATAAAGCTGCCATCGAGATAGCACATAATCCAGTACAACACGACCGTACTAAACATGTGGAAGTCGATCGACACTTCATCAAAGAAAAATTGGAAAAAAAGATGATTAAGTTTCCGTTCGTAAACTCAGAAAATCAACTGGCTGATATTCTGACAAAGGCAGTATCAAGTAGAGTTTTCAATGAGTCTATTGACAAGTTGGGCATGCGTGACATCTTTGCACCAACTTGAGGGGGAGTGTTAATTATGTAGTCAATTAATGTGTTAATTATGTAGTCAATTAATGTGTTGATTATGTAGTCAATTAATGTTTGGCACCTACTATGTTTGGCACCTACAATATTTGGGGGGCTTGACTAGGTTGGTTGCCTAACTAGGTTGGTTGCCTAACTTGGTTGGTTGCCTAACTTGGGGGGCTTAGGAACTTGTATATATATGTGTTGATTGTAAGTAATGTAAGACATAAGAAAGAATTCTAAAACCAGAAAATTATCTTCTCTCATTCTCACATTCTCATATTCTAGCTTATCTCTACACAAATCTCTACACTTTGTTTGGCACCTCCAACATTTAAATCAGTCATGAAAATGGATCTGACTAAAACACAATCAAATTTCTAGCAATGTATTTTTTCTTTTTATACAAATTTCCCGAGAAATTAATTTTTCAGTTGGACAAATTATGAGAACAGTTCAATTTTCAGCTGTCTTTCAAAGAAAGTACATGGAATTATGGACTGCAAGAAAGCAACTATTTTTTTTTATACATGTGAAATGCCAAAAAGCTCAAATTAAACACACTTCAATTCAACTATAATGGAAATTTATCTCTCTTTTTTAGGCTGCCCAGTTATTTGCTTCTGCACACACAACATGAGATCGATGAGAAAAGAGAGAAATAGAAGAAGAAACATATTTACTTACAAACTTGAAGGTGTACATACAATTGTTTTCGTACAAACGTACATTTCTTTTCTATCTCTCTCCCTCTGTCAAGACTGCCAGTGTGCCATGATTTTTCAATTTTCTCGAGAACCAAACAGATCATGACCTCATGAACACTGAATTTAATTCCGAATCTGCCATTATTATACGCAGACCCAAAAAAAAAAAACAAAAAAAAAAACCAGCACAACCACATTTTATACACAAGAGAAAATACCAAACCTCCCCATGTACCCCAATAAATAAATAAAAACCCCTCCCATCCATCACCGGAAAAAAAATTTGTTAGTCTTCGGTGATGCTCTCGAGATGAGGCCGCCATACTGTGGCCCGGCCGGCCCGGCGATCCCGCCGTGACGAAGACTTCTTTTCCGTGATAATCTCCGTTAAGTAGCGGTCGGTACTCTCGGTGTGGCTTTTAGTGCTCTTTTTCGACGGCTTCTTAACGCCGCTAGTCTTACTCTTCTTCTTCTTCTCCGGTATAGAAGAAGTTGGGATCAAGAAATAGATGCTGCCCCGCTTGAGCTCCGTCTCCGGTGAGAGTATCAAAATGCGACGAACGACGCCTTGGGAGCTGGGTTTGCTCAGAACGTGATTTGGGTTCGCTTCGAGGATCTCACCGGCTGTGACAGAATGCGAGATTTCTTCTACGTAGCCATTCAAATGGACGATCCGGATCAAGTCAAGAGCACCGCAGGGTAGCACACAAGCCAAACAGCACCTTAGACTGTTGCCCATTTTAGATTTTTTGACCTCTCACTCTGTTTTCTGGGTTGCTCTGTTTTTTCTTTGGGGTTGGTTTGGAAGGTTGAATGCTATGGAGGGGTGGACTGGCTGTGTGTTATATATAGGAATATTGATATATCATAAGAACAGAACAGAGCTAATTGGGTTGGAAAATGACCAAATTGGCCTCTTGGTGATTTTTTATTTTATTTTTGGGTTTGGCCTTCTTCTTGTGTGGGATTGGGTTTGGGTGGCCCTTGCGTCCATGAGCTAATTAACTTAAGCCGCCTTCTAAACAATTAATGATGTGAGATTTCTTGCAATCACCTTTTGGGAAGTGCTGAAGCTAGCTAGGGTTTCTTTGTTTCAAAGTGGACGCCAAAGTTGGTCAAATTATGCGTTTTTTCTTCTTTTGTTAACTGAGGTGTAATTGACAATCAAATATTAACTGAATTTAGTTTTTTGTGGACAAATTTGTAAATGTCTCATTCGATCAATTGTTTAAATGCGACTCAAGCGTTATAGTTCTGACATTGGCTCTACAATTATGAGAAAAAAAGATATCGTAAATTGTCTCTTGTGCTACATGTAACACGTGAATTAGCTCTTGCGCTACATATAAAATGTGAATAGTCTCTTGTGTTGCATATCACATGTGATTCTTATATGGTGATACGTTAGTGCCTCTAGAAGAAGGATAAAAAGTTCCCACAATTCCACTTCATTTCTAGGACGTTAAAAAAATTACTTAGAAAAGTGACATTCAATATGAGGAAGAATATACAAAATTGAAAATAATAGTTATTTAAATCATTTTATTTTTATCTTATTTTTTTTAAAAAAACTAGTTTTTATTTATTTTCCCTTTTTATTCTTCACCTCTATCCCCTTCTCATCTTTCTCTTCAATCAAAACACAAACAAAATAATAAAATATATTCTTAAAAATTCGTTAAAACCTCTTATATAATGTTGAAGAAAAAAAAAAGTATAAAGACCTCCAAGGGTGTATTTGGAAATATAAGAAATACGAAGAGGAGTTGTGTATGTGGCTCCCACAACATGCCCCAATGACGAGTCCATCGCGAATATAGGCATTAAGATTAGAAACGACAGATTTAAATAATGGCTTTTGGCTTATGCTCAAATTATAAGTGATTAGGTACGGAATGGAAATTGTAGAGTACAAGCTTTTATTTTTTGAGAAAATGATTATCCTACTCATAGTTGAGCTGACCAATTTCACAGGCTCATATTATTGGTCCAGCCTGGCCTCAGCCGAAAGCATAACAGCCCATTTGTCTCGAGTTGTGTTTTTTTTTTATCGCTGAGACTTTATTGGTCTGTGACATTGTTAGCTGCACTACCGGTGACGAAGTTCTTATAACTCAGGACCCTCTGCTAAGAAAAGGCCAGAGAAAGCTGTCTTATTAGAACAGGTGTCTTTTATAATTGGGAGCTAATTTCCCCACTTTCATTTTCTCCATTTACACTCTTTTTTGCTTTTTAATACTTTTTAATCAATTTTGTTTTTTCTCTTTCTTATTCTATCCTTACCCTATATTAATTTATTTTTTACTTCACTTTTATATTATTTCTTTTTCTTTATACTTAATTTTCTAACTTACACTATATTTTCAGTATTAAGGGAAAAAAAACTTAATTTCTTACTCGATCAAAGGAAAAAAAAATAATATGTTGAAAATGTAGTGCAAGTTGGAAAATTAAGTATAAAGAAAAAAACACTAATATAAAAGTGAAGTAAAAATAAATTAATGTAGGCTAAGGGTAGAATAGGAAAGAGAAGAAACAAAATTGATTAAAAAGTATTAAAAAGCAAAAAGGAAGTGTAAGTGGAGAAAAGAGGAGTGTGGAAATCATATCCCTTATAATTTTCTTTACACTTCAATAAATGAGCAGTATTTGTTTTTTCTTTCTTAGCCAAATATGTGAATGTATAGCCTAAATACTAGAATACCCCTTTCAAAATATGTGAATTAATAGTTTAAACTAGGTAATGATGAAATGTAAGGAAATATGTACAATTTGAGAGATCACTTGCAATATACATTACCCTCCTCAAAATCATATCAATTGTATGATGAAATGTAAGGAAATGTGTTAGTATTTATGATAAGTAAAGGATTCGATTTCTTTTAATCCCTAACAAATGATTAAGTATTGAGCTTGTGATTAACTCTCCATATCCATGACTTGAGCATTAGGGTTGTTGAGCTCATCCTTGTCATCAAGTTATGTAATTATTCACAAGGAACTTGCAGTTCAAGTAGTTAAAAGCAGTTACTCTTGCATTACATTGTTTAATTCTCTCCTCTCTCGAATCGTTTGTATAAAAATAAAAATAAAAATAAAATATCATGCTACTATTCAACCATGTTCGTCAATTAGGTGAAAACATCCTTCAAATTAGTGATGAACATTTGTCATATATGGCTCATGACAGTGAGGTTCAGTGGACTTACTTTATATAACTCAAATCAAACCCTAAACCTTAACCGGCCTAATTAAAGTATAGCTGAACACAAACTCGCACATTACATGCAAACTTGAAGTACCACAACATCCTAGATATATATATATATATATCAATCTTTTAAGTATTTCTTTGTCACCTAGTGCAATTGTTGCTCGAGTATCTCGCAGTAATTTTATATTTGAACTCTACAAAAACCATCATATGTTACAAATAATATTAAATCAATTCCTAATGCAAACAAACTACATGTTCTTTTCCTTGATCTCCTAAATAATAATTAACAAGTCCCCATGGATTTTTTAATTAACTAGATAGTTAATTAGTTACCTTTTCGCACATATATACTAGCTTTCAATAACGATTTTGCAGACGGAGTTGACGAAAAATGGTAAAGTGGGACAGTGAATACAATTCTGGAGGGTTAAGTGTGAAAATTTGAGTTTCATTGGGTAAATGAGACCGACATTCGAGTCTAAGGAGGAAAACAGTGATTAAGTTATTTTAATAATTGAAAATGGACTAGTCGCTCCTAGTATGATCTCCAAAACATCAGATATTTTGTTGGTAGCTGCAGATAGGCATGGCAAGTACAAGACTAAATATTCTAGTCAATCTTAAGGTACTTCAAACCCTAGCTAGCCAGTATATATGACAAGACTAGTGATTAGAGTATGTCTCTTTGCTCGTGTGGATGGTTTGTAATTTTGCATCTTATGCCACGTCAAAAAGCTTGGACTAGGAAGCTTCATGGCACTGACGTTTCAGGCACCGACCTTAACAGAAATGAAACTTTACAATAATGGATTGCTAATAAGGGACGCACGAGGCATGCCATAAGATTCCCGATCGATGTGTGATTCAATCTAAAATTTTAATTATCCTCAAACCTCAACAACATGTACACAACAAGACTGAAGGAGGAAGAAGAGGCCATCCATAATTGAACAACGTGAGGCAAGTCTGTCTTTACACTGGAGCCAAGGTGGAAGAACAATTTATTAATCAAAGACTAGTTTTTTTTAATTATTGGGGTTTAATTTAATCATTTTATTAATCGCATAGTTAATGAATAATCATCATTGGTTTTAGAGTCTGATTGAAGAAAGCCTGTACCCCTAACAGCTACCGTATTACTTTACTGTCCAAGCTCCTCCCTTTGTATTACTTGCTCCCATCACCACTAAAAACTTATATGAAATGGGAATAGCATTGTTTTGCTATTCTCGGTCAATCATGCTATGTCAAATGGAAAAATTATCACGTGTGGCATGACATGATTGGCAGGAATAGCAAAATAATGTTATTCCCGTTGCAAGCCCTCCCAAGACATAGAGCCAAAAGTTATTTATATAATTAATGCTTCATATACTTTTGAGAGACTTTTAATTAGTGGTTGCTATCTCTAGGTGCATATTTGATAGCTGGCATTGTTGTGGGATTGTTGCTGAAAGCTACAATATTTGATGGATTATACACAAATCTTTGGGATTGGTAGAATTCGAGGTCAGTTCATTGTATCCAAGTCTCGATCGCCCAATTAGAAGTACATAGAATCTAAAAAGTGATTCTTTTCAGTTCCCTATTGGTGTTCATGGATTAATTGGGATTACTGTATTGAAATTTGTTGGGTTTTAAAAACAACACATTGCAAAGCCCGAGATTCATTTATGATATCAGATTATTTGTAGTAGAAGAGTAGTAAATCATAGTTAGTTTTTATACTCACTGATGTGTATATATAGAAAGTGGCATACGTTTTATGTACATATAAGTACAGAGAAATGATATTTCTTACGAAACAGTTTAACATGTTAATTATATTATCATTTTATTGATCTGAATCGTTAATCATATAAAATTACGTTGGTCGTCTGACAAAATCATAATATGTCAAATTATATGACAAATAGCATTTCCTAGCTATTACTACTTTGGGTTTGGTTCCTTCAAATCTTATGTCTACTTGAAAACTATAACCTCAGCTAATGGATTGTCAATAAGTTAGGCATGTAATAATTTCAAAGGAGAATTGGGTCAAGCAAGTAGCTCCAATTTTGGAACTGTCTAAATCAAGAAGGATTTGGTTAGAAAATGTATCGCAACATGATCTCTCAGTGCTAGCTAAGGCTACCACTATATGGCTCATATTTCTCATGGACCCATCTTTATATTCGTGGTCTTAGGCTTTTAGCAAGAATTTCAGGTTTAATTAATTATAACAATAATATCTGTATTGGACTTGAATTTCAAGGTGTTTAAACACCTCTCAATTTGAAGCACGCAAAACTCAAGGAGCTGTCCACTTCAGTTTTAACACCACTTTGTCGAATCATGCACAAAATGACATATTATGGAAAATTCCCAAATCGAACTAACATGATTTTGTTGGAGAGAGGGGACGACATGACATGCATGGCCACTAGTTTGTGTAACAGTAACACCAAATTAGATACGTCTAAATTAGCACAATATTTCAAATGACAATAAAGCAGTGAGAACATATAAAACGTCTTCTTTCGCCTTTTATTTTCTTTTCATTTTGACCAATAATTGTTATAGAACCCAAATTGATTTTTAATGGCTTGTTATAGTTACTTCTACAATTCTACTTACTAATCAAATGAGTTCGGATCCTCTACTTATATTATCGTATCGATGTTATACTAACTCAACTTAATTCCCAAAAGAACAATTTTTTGAACATAAGAGTAATGCAATATTAACATTTAAAAAAACAATTGTCCTCTTTTCAAAATGACCTCCTAATTAACTTGGTGTCATTTTCTTTCTTATTAGAAAAACCTGCTAGATCTCTTAGGCAAACACCTTGAGATTTTTCTCAACAACCAAAACTTTTTGATCCAGCGAATATCTGTTTGTTCAAATTTCTGCGGATGAAGTTGTTCACTTCATCAAGAGGTATATATACTTTAGATTTTGAAGATTTCGTCTGCAAAATCCTTATAAAAAATTATGATTGAAGGAATCTACAGTAGGTGAGATATATATATACTGTCTCATATGCATGCATGTAAAATAGTTTATAATATAAAATGCACGGATGCATGCGGAAATTTTATTTGAGTTTAAATTGATTGACCACCACTGCCAGTATATTCTTCATATTTCCGGATACTGACTATTGAGCAATAAAAATTGTCCTACATTAATTTGGTGGTTGGCAGCATTTCCCATAAAAGATCTTCAACGATTGACTGCAAATGCAATGAAAATAGAAAACATAATTGTAAGCTGGAAGATAATGGGGCAGGTGCAATTTTCACTTCTGATAAGACCTTCTCTCTCTCGCGAAAAGCTTGTAACTCTAATAATGGACTATGGAGCCCTTTTGGACTTTAACCCGATCTCATCCTATGGACTATGGAGCAGATCTTTCAGTCCTAAATCAAATCAAACCCATATAAACTTCTAAGTTTTGTGGCCAATCGAACCCGAGTTTGTGAGGTGGTTTGTTGAACTGGGCTACTTTCATTTGTGTATGCCAAGCTGTAGCCCAGATTTTGAGTCCAATTGGTAAGCAAGGCCAGGTCAGACTAAGCCCTTTGTTCCTTTGGATCAAATTGGTTAGCCGTTTGATCAAATTGGTTAGTCTGATCCAACGGTTAAGAGATTGGACATTACTCAAGCGCCATATATAAGGCCCTCACTATAGAATGACTCCTTCACATATTTGTAAACATGGATTAAGCTAGTTGGCAAGAGGAGTGAGTCTGCCCTTTGCATCTAAGTTCGAATCCCCCTTTCTGTAGATTAGATTATCACTTATATTTAAAAGAAGAAAAAAACAATCTTGACATAAATAATTTTCCTTATCCTTTTCTCTTTTCTATTTTAAAGAAATCCATTTAGATATACCTCGGATATGTATGAGATTTAATTTTCTTATTATATATGGGAAAATTCTACAGTGTGTCTGGTGCATGGATGCGCCACCCATTAGATGAGTAGTTGGGGCATATGGGGTAATCCACACCGTTAATTGTTGGTTATCGGTTAAATGGACAAAAGAAAGAAAGAAAGAAAGAATTGTTGGTTGTCGGTTAAATGGACAAAAGAAAGAAAGAAAGAAGTTCTAAGTTCTATGTTGTTGTGTCCCTTCAAACCCAAGAGAACCTATGCCTCGACTACACGAAGGATAGACGTAACAGAGCATACTAAATGAGTGGCAAATGTCATTCACAAACGAAAACAACCCATACCTAACGCCAAAATACAGAAAACAATCAAAAGCATAATCCTACAACAAATTACTGACAAATTAATCAACCTGCGCCACACTGTAAGTCTAATATATATCCTTCCTTTCCCCTAATGTTTCAAGAAACATACGTATATAACTTGGCATCCATGTCACGTTTCTATCTTCATCTTCATCTTTTTTGGCCAATTTATTTCTTTATGGTTCCACGGTTCTCAATACAACACTTTGATTTGATGGCCTTTTAACTCTATAAATCCAAAAGGTGCTGCTAAAACAAGTGAAAAAAATGGCACCCACAACACTCTTTCTCATGCAAATTTGGTTTTGGATCACATGCAATGCCAATGCCACAAGGCCTTCACCAAAATTCCCAGCCATTCTAGTCTTTGGTGATTCAACAGTGGACACTGGCAACAACAATTACCTCAAAACAGTGGCCAAGGCTAACCATTTCCCCTATGGCAAAGACTTTCCTGGTAAAGTTCCAACAGGCAGGTTTTCTAATGGAAAACTTGTCCCTGACTTCATTGCCTCCCTCTTAAAGATCAAAGAAGCCGTTCCTCCATTTCTTGATCCAAGCCTTTCAAACAACGACCTTGTCACCGGTGTGAGCTTTGCGTCAGGGGGATCTGGATACGATGATACAACCGCTGCCGTTGTCGGGATCATACCATTTTCAAAGCAGATTGAGTTGTTCAAGAAATACATTGTGAGAGTTGAGGGAATTTTGGGGGAAAAGGAGGCTGACAAGTTAATTAAAGGTGCACTTGTTATAATAAGTGCAGGTACCAATGACTTTGGTTTTAATATCTATGACATACCCACAAGAAGATTAGAGTTCAACATTACTGGGTACCAAGATTTTCTGCAGAAAAAGCTGCAAATGTTCATTAAGGTAAAGTATGATAAATTCCTATCCCTTTCACATGCAATTTTTATTTTTATTTTTATTTTTCTCATGTGATTCTGTTTTTTTTGTCAAAGCTCTAATTTGGAGCTTTCAGAAAGATCTTAAACATGTGAAGCATCTCATCACAAGCACATATGTGTAACATCAAGCCTTTTTCAGAAATATATATTGTATTCAACATGTACTTATTATTAATTTACAATAATTTTTCATGTATATATATGTATATGTTCGTAGGAACTGTATGAGCTTGGATGCAGAAAAATAGTAATAGCAGGGCTTCCTCCAATAGGCTGCCTGCCCATACAAATAACTGCAAAATCTGAAAATCCAAAGAATAGAAGATGTGTAGACAATGAGAATTCAGATGCCCAAATTTACAATCAAAAGCTTGCAAAACTATTGCCCAAGATACAGTCACTCTTTCCAGGGAGCAAAATTGTCTATGCAGATGTCTATGAGCCATTAACTGACATGATCAACAATCCACAAAAATTTGGTGAGCAAAAGTTATTTTAAATTATTAATCTGAGTCTAAATATGATTATTAAATTATTGGTTCTTTCTTGTGTATAAAGGGTTTGTGGAAACAAAGAGAGGCTGCTGTGGTTCAGGGCTTGTGGAAGCAGGGCCTCTGTGCAATGCATTGACACCACCATGTGCCAATGACTTGGAGTACTTATTTTGGGACAGCATACATCCCAGTGAAGCTGCCTACCAGTACATTTCTAAGTACCTGGAGAAGAAAGTCCTTCCAAAGCTTGATGATGATCATCAATCACAGCCGTTGATTAGTCTATCCAATCGGACAGATGATTGATACTGGTAATGAATTTTTCCGTTCAAGTTTCATATACCTTGTGTGATTTCATTTCCACATACATCTGGCTTGTAAAGTCATTTACTTGATTTATATGCAACTACCCAGGAAAAATAGAAATTGCCAATATTAATGCAGCCCAATTAAGTCTATAAATTTCTGTGTTATGTTGATTTCTTGAAGTCTGATTATGTAAATGTGGGTACTCATAATGACATCAAGAAAGGCTGTCATAAAAGTATTTCTTCTAACTGGTTCACATTTCTACGCCAAAATGGATCTTCCATAAACCATTGTTGGGTTTTGGCAAGTGGGTTGCTGATGAAAGTTGCAGTCAAGACCTACCACCTCCACCACCACCGCCGCCACAACCCCCATCACCGTCAGGAACCACCATTTTTCTTTTGAATTTGAAGGGTTTTTACAAGTTGCCCAGTCAGTGAACCGAACAGTCTGTGAGCACAAGCAAAACCTGGCATTGTTATTTCTTGCACAACTTCTTGAGATTACAAACCATGCTCTCTAAAATATAGGAAGATATCTAGGAGCTCTTAAATATGAGGAGAGAGATAAGACTCCCTATAATTTAATGAGTATTTCAAGAACTATTTTTTATATTATTTTTCAATAAAGATGGAATGGACCAATTAAAAAAAAGTTATGACATTTACGAGTCCATATAGAGAACATGATTGAAGTTTAAATTTATACAGAGAGCTTCTAAAATAACTTTTATATATGTTTAGCTAAAATTTAACTGAAAAATATAGAGCATGATTGTGAATGCTGTTAGTACTTCCTATCCGATAATTATGACATATTTACTTATCTGAAATGGATATCGAATTATTTTAATTCGTAACTTTCTCTTCGCTTACTAATAGATGGTTTTTAAACCCGAAAACTACCATGGGTCATGTAAAGTAGTTGCAGGAATGTGTTTAATCAGCAGAGACAGCAAAACAGCAATTGCTATGCAACAAAAGAAAATTATGTGGATACCAAAACCTATGATTTCCAACGAAAATAGTAAAACCAAAACTTATGAGATTGATAATAGCACCAATCTATGGCTTTGCATTCACAAATAAGGGGTAGGGGGCAAAAGAAAAACTGTACTACACACAAGCAAACATCTAGAGTACAAGGTGGTCACAAGTTCTTTCGGACCATTCAATAATACATAAACAAAACTTTTGTTGTAAACTTCCTTTTTTTAGTACATACAGACAACCATCACTAGCAGCTTAAGCTTCTTCACTTCCGGCCAGCGCCGGCGGATCCTCGACTGCCCCGAAACAAGTCGTTAATCTTAGCCTCGATGTCCTCATTAGCATATTTAATGTACTTGTCATGCCTCCCGATTTCTGGCACATTATGAAACCTTCCGATAAAGTTCTGATACGCCGGCAACAAGTTTTTCGCTAGGGCAATTCTCAATTCATCCCTGAGCTGATCGTCGAAAACAACCCAATTGGATTGAGTTTTACAGATCTCATCGAAGTATATGTTGAACAATTTGAGCTTCTCTTTCATGGACTTGACAGCAACATTGGGTGCTAATGAGCCACTCTCAAGCTTCAACACTCCCAACACTTTATTCCATGAGCTTCTCTGGTAATTCACATGGTACTGCCGGACTTTTGCAGTGTGTTTTCTGATCCAATCGTCGCCCAAAAGCGATCCTAATTCGCTGTCTTTCACTTTCTGTACTATGTACCTCGAGTTGTTCATCATGAAAACATAGCACAAAGCAGAGTCCCTGTAAATCTTCGACTTGGCCTCTAAATTGCTCTCCAAAAGCTCCATAATCCACGCCATTTGGACCGACATCGAAGACGAGGCACGATCATCAACCTTGGGCTGACGAGAGACCGCAGTGCTGTCCTCGAAAACTTGCTCGAGCGTCTGGCGCGATCGGCAAGCCGCTCGGAGATAATTCATCACGTATCGAGTGATAGGATGAAGTCCGCCACCAGGAACTGGGGTTTTGGCGGGATCGCGACTGATCAGATTCTCTAACTCCATGAAAATGCCTCTGATAGCTTCGCCCAACCTTTTCCAAATCGTCATCGCTTCGTTCCTGAGAAACAAACAGTAATGATCCGAAAACACGGACTCGAACTCAGGCATCAAATCCCGCAAGGACTCAAACACGTCTAGAATCTTGAACAATCGCTCCGGCGATCGGCTTCCGATGGCTACGGCGTCCGCGAAGTTGAGTATCTGAATTGTCGAGCCTCGACAAACCTCCATGAACGAGAGGTCGGCAGCAGAGGAGAGGCCATAGAAGACTCGATCGCAGAGTCTACGCTCGCTCGGGAACAGAATCCGAAGCGCTACGTTGGCGGATTTGATCCATCGCTCGATTTCGTCTTCGAGGTCTTGCCATGGCGTCTTCTGAACCTCTTCGATGCTCAGCTTCTGCAACCCTAGCCTCGATAAGCTCTCCTCCAAGAACTCCCTCCGGCAGCTGCTGTACACGTGCGCGCACTCTTTCCCGAACCCCGCGGTCACCATGCGCTTCGCGATCTCGTGGAGGTCGTTGATGGTGCCAGAAGGAAGCGCATCGATCACGATGTCGTAGTCCCCAATCGGCTGCGCCGTAGGGATCTGGTGGTCCTCGCCGTTTCCGATCATCTCCTCTTCCTCTTCGTCGTCCCCCGAGTCAAACGACAAGTTGCCGTTCGACTCACCGCGGTACGCGCGACTGAGTTCGAGTGACTCGCCGCCGCGTTCGACCAGGGACCTGAACTCGTCCTCGAGGCGGAACATGGCCTGCTGCATGAGGTCCTCGGCGCGCGCGAGGCAAACGCCGACGGACTTGTCGACGGCCAGCGGCGTCCAGTCCCTGATGGTGGCGATGAGCTCGTCGATCGAGTCCAGGAAGGCCGAGGAATCGGCCGAGTCGGACCAAATCGGATGGTCAGCGGCGACGTACTGGGAGATCTGACGGTCCAGGGACTTGAGCGTCAGTTCGAGAGCGGCGCAGCTCCGAGGGCGATCCTCGTCGTCGGAAGCCAATTTCTCGCGAGAGAACCTGCCGTCGAAGTTGGAGAAAATCTGTAAAATATCATCGGCCATGTTGTCGTTGCGGCCTAGAGTCTTGGCTATGTGTCGGGCCACGGCTAGCAATTTCTCCTCGCCGTTCTCAGCCATTTTTGGATGTTGAAACGAAATTGGTCGTCTTCTGTATAGAGTTAGTGTTAGAAAGTACTGTAGGTGTTTGATTATAGGTCAGAGTAGGGAGATTTTAGGGTTACGAAATTGAGAGCAAAAATAGGCGGATGGTTTTGATTTTCAAAGATTTCATAATTTCATTTTGTTGTAATTAATAACCAAAAAGCCAAAAGCCGTGAGATGGGGTGATGAAGTTGAAATTGAATAGTATTATTTAGAGGTTCGTGGAAGGTGATTGGAAAACACGCGGTTTGGTGGTGGGGAGAAGAAGAAGAAGAGGGAAAAGATATTTGCGGGCAATGTTTGCTTGGTGGATTCTCTTGGGGCCCCTTTGGATTGGACTTTTGAATTTCTAGGATTTTTTTAATTTTCTGGACTGCTTTTTTATAATTTGAGTAAATGGAATGGATAAGAAAGAGTGAGAAGTGGGGATGTTTGTAAATATAAATGAAGTTAGTTGTTTAAAGCAGTGTGTTAACGATTTCAAACACTCTTTTCTCGGGTTCAAATACTTTTTTTCGTACATTAGAGTAGTTTTAAATTTCACTCTGGTAATTAAAAAATATATATATATATATATATATATATGTGGTGGAATTTTAAAGTGGAGAAGGTTGAACGGGTTTGGAGCTTTAGACTTTATGCGGATTTGGACAAGTGAAGTAAAGAAAAAGTAAAGGGTTTTTGGTTGTTTTGGATTTGGTCTAAAGCATTTTATTTTATGGATGACTGGAATTTAAAAGACGTGGAGACCGCCACTCGAAAAATCTGGACGGCATGGTGTTGCTTTTACTGTGAGCTCTGCGCATTTGGCATCTTATTGGGCTTATTTAGAGATAATAAAATAAAATGCCACGTGGTGCTACGAATATACAGTGGACTGTTTCAGGTTACGCGTTTAGCATTTAGTTTTGGATAAGTGTTATCCAAATTAGACCAAGCCAAGCCAAGCCAAGACAATCCCTAAGCATAATCCATGCCAAGACAATCTTGTGTACCAAACGAGCCCTTAAAAAAAACCAATAAAAATGGCGTCTATATATTTATTAATTAATGTAGAGAGGTTGGTTCTTCGTTGGTGGGGGTTGAGGTTGTTTTTCACAGTGCACTTATGTTACGGCTGCATCGTCATCTTTTCGCAACTAATGTCAACTAATAAAAAAATATTAGTAACTGCTCGTGCACTCGCTCGTCGTTGTATGTGTATATCATATTATATTAATTATAAAAAATTTCTCACAACCAGGGATTGAACTTAGCGAAATCTTTCCAAAAACAACCCCAATTAGAAGATATGGAGAATATCAATACTATATTAACAAGATATTTCATTATCATTACCAATACTTTGGGTCTGTTAAGATTCATTTGGTGTAAATTCGATTTAATTGGATTTAAAACACTGATTCGGGTTGTGTTGTGTCACTCTTGCTTTTCTTTCTCCTTGGAGTTAATGTGGGTGGAAATTTAACATTTTTTGCTATGGAAGTGTTGGTCTCTTTTTTCCTTCCTCTTCCGGGTCAACTTTTTTTTTTTTGGGCGGTAACGGAGAGGGAGAGAGGAAGAAGCCAGGTCAACACCAATGTCCCGATTGGATTTCTGGCTCGTAAGAGGATTTAGTTCAATTTTGGACAAAAATGAAAGTTAAATCAGGTTGAGAAGAGCGGGAGAGCATGGGCTAGGCCATGATGGCTTGCTTATTCTAGCCCAATCGCATATTGCGTAGGCGTACCACTATTGGTGATGATACCAGCCCAATAAACCTGGTGTATGTGATTTAGAGTGTTTTGTTTGATGGACTTGCACTTGTACAGGCTTGAATGAGTTCTTTTCTATGCCTCAATCAAGAGGACTTCAATATTCTTTCAATCATGCGTTTATGGCTTGGCAAATGCTAGTAGTACCTATCCAAATAGAAAAACCAATGTTGAGGCCAATGCTCCCTTGATTGGGCTCAGAAACCTAATCTGGGCCTGAGATAACCTCGGATTAGGTTAGGGTTTAGTTAATTCGGGCACAATCAAACCCTTGTTTTCAAGCTAATAAAGCCCTATTCGGGCCTAAAACCCTTGTTCTGGGTCTATCTAGTAATGAACAGTTATAACCAAAGATTCAAATATAAAAATGCGGGAAAGTAAATCACTGGAAAGTAAGACACAAAAAAGATAAATGGCAAGAATATAAAGTGCAATTAAGATAAATTATAGAGATACTAAAGTTCCGTAAGCTAAAGAATTCTCTATCCAGCTCTAGCATAATAACAAGTTAAAACGAAAGCCAAAGATTTCTCCATTTAGCTATTTTTTAAAGAACAAGTTACAATATTGAAGAAATTGGAGATTTCTCTTATCCAATTTGTACAAGTTTCATATGTTTAGAAGGAAACTAGACTGACTATTTAAACAAGAATCATACCATAAAGATGGTAGAGCAATAAAAGATAAACGCAGGAGTTGTCAACTGGTTATCTAGGCAGCAAGTTGGCTATTTGAAAATCTTGAAGTTTATTCAAGTGTTTACAAGACATTGCTGTAGAGCCTCTATATTTATAAGTAGAAAATCTTTAACGATGACAGTGAAGGCTGGATGATAACACTTGAGTGTTGTCCAAAGTCAGTTGCCGATTTGTCATCATGGGTCGATCCACAGGTAGGAGAAAGATATCTCCGATGAAAACACTAGTTTCAAGGGATATCCTTATGATTTGTCGTTCTTTTGTAGTTAGAAAACTAGTCAGAAGACAGTTCCTCTTGATTTTGGCGTCAATTATCCAAGTTGCTTTCTTGCTGAGGGATATGGCAGTCAAGTCATTCTTAATGGTGAGAACCCATCTTCAGACCGTCGCGTGAGTCAACTGGTAATAGTTACCAATTTTCTAACTTTAGTGTGGATTAAGATTAAGGTCTTTTCGCAACATGGGCTGTTGAGTAGATTTCACCAATTACTGGCCCAAATCCAAAAAGACCATTTTCGTTGGTTTTGAAATTGGGTCTAATATAATCTTATTTTAAAAACAAACCAAATTTGGTCCGTTTATGGTACAAACAGGGGAGTGGTAGGCGTGTGTGCCTCCTCCTTTAGTCCCCTGGGGTGTTTAAGTTGTTAACCCAGGTTTTAGCTTTGCCTGGTGCATTTTTTGGTTGTTTTGGGCAGTGGCCCTCTCTTTCCCTTTCGTAATTGAAAGTGTGTTTCGAACAAAAAAAAAAAAAAAAAAAATGGTACAAACAGGAAGTCTCCTGATTATCAGATAAATCTCAGATATCAAGTAAATCTCGGAGACAGAGGGCAAGAAACTGTTTCATCCCTATATTTTCACGACAATGGGTTGTCTTGATTGAAAAAGAGATATATTGGTGATGAGGCACTATTTATGGCCAAGGCCTAATCTGTCCACGTCATAATTATCATAAGAAAATAAAAAATAAAAACATCGCCCATCCTACCTGATTGGCCAAGCAACGCAAACCAAACGCTGCGCAACACACAAAACTCCACAATATAATAATCACCGTCCATTCCTTTATCCACGGCTACAGATTCTCCAACCCCAAATAATCCTTTATAACCTCTCTTTTGTGTTTTTACCGTTCGACCCAAAAAAAATCTGCAACTTCTGAAAAAGTCTCGCCAGTCTTCTTCAGTCTTCTTCCAATCTTGCGCCCAAATTTCTCTCGTATTTACACCAATGTCCTCGCCTTCCCCGATCCCAATCTCATCCCAACAATCCTCCCACAACCACCAATCCTCCTTCACCATCCCGATCCCATCCCTCCGCCCCATCCTCACGCGCCTCTCCGGCCTCTCCCGCCACGCGCTCTCCAACAGCCGCCCCTGGACCGAGCTCATCGACCGTACCGCCTTCTCCAGACCGGGCTCGCTCTCCGAGGCCGCCTCGCGGGTGCGCAAGAACGTCGCCTACTTCCGCGTCAACTACCTAATCGTACTCGCGGTCGTACTCGCCTACTCCCTCATCTCCCACCCCTTCTCTCTCCTCACCCTAGTAACCCTCTCAGGCGCATGGATCTTCCTCTACGTGCTTCGACCGTCCGATCAGCCTTTAGTGATCTTCGGCCGCACCTTCTCGGACACCCAGGCCCTGTTCGGGTTGGGCCTCGCGACGCTGATTGCTATCTTGGTTACGAGCGTATTGTCGCTGATTCTGACGGCGGTGATGGTGGGGGTAGTGATCGTGTGCGCCCACGGTGCATTTAGAGATCCCGAGGATCTGTTCCTCGACGATCAGCAGCCGTTGGCTTCCGGATTCACTTCAATATTCGGCGGTGGGGCTTCTGCGAGTGCCAGTGTGATGTCACGTGTCTAGGTTGTGATGGTTGATTGTCGGGACTCGGAAGGCGTACATACTGATTAGCTACACAGTATCACACTCCCGTGGGTCGGGTCATAGGCTTAGATCGATATTCATTACTTAAAGACAATTTGTTTTGTTCTCTCAAGTTTGCATTTTTCTTTGTTTCGTTGATGGCAATTTTAATTGTATCTGATTTTATTAATTCTAATACCATAAAGCTTTTTTCTTTTAACATACATTAAGGTCTTTTCTTCTTATGTATTTAGATAATAAATTTGCTTATTTATGAAGAGTATTGTTAAACGAACCCTAAAATTAACTTGAGTACACCATATGATTTAAGTACACCTTAATATTTTAATCAAAATGTAAAATTAACTAAGTACACCTTATTTAACTATCAAAAATACCCCTGATACACTCTAATACATTCTATTACACAATACTCTAGTGCCAATCATAAACTAGGTTTCACTTTTTACATGAATTCATGCCATCTTTTTATTTTGGATTCGCATCAAATTTTTTAATTTCATAAGCTATTGTGGGAGTAGATTTGCTAGCTCCTTCAATTCAAAGCTTGATTCTTGTGATTTTCTTCGAAACATGTGGAGGAGACTTAAGCATCTCTGTCAAATTACTAGTGAAATGCATCATCACCAGTCCGAAATCCTTGAGAATTTTGGATGTTTCCAAGTTAGAAGAAAAGTTTAAACCCTGAGATTTTAAAGTCATCCACTTTCAACTTTATTGTATGGATGATGTTGAGCTAAGAAGTTAGACTGGAACAAACTTTTTCATTCAAATATGGTTGCCCATCTTTCACATAAGGAAGAATCAAGTGTATGAAGAAACACCAACACTTGTCTTTCACCGTGTTTGTAAGGAAGCTCTAAGCCTTTGAAAGCATCAAAGACCCTTAAAATTATACGAAAACTTCTCTACTTTTGATTAGGGTTGAGTATGATTAGTAAGGTGTACTTATTAAAATTATATTTGTTTCACAATTCCATATATCTTTTTTGGTCATTTTATATTAGAGGAAATTAGTACTTCAATAAATAATTTATTAGTAGGGTGTACTTAGTTAATTTTAGGTTTCGTTTAGCAACACTCTTTATCAATATAACAATTGACACAAATTTCTACGTGATACTATAATCCCCAATCTTACATCACAACATCAAAACTTACAACATATACAATGAACAATGGGAAATACACACGGATACTAGTATTATTGGTGTAGCAAAGTTATCGAATAACACTATTACTGTAACAAATAGCGTCATTACATCGATATGATCTCGATATCGTCAGTATTGTCCCATTATCTCAATAACAATCAGTTCTATATGGTATTAATATGAACTAGACAAAGTAATAAAAGTGTTATTTAAGAAATTTGTTCAGTGATAGTACCATTTGAAAGCATTTCCCATGAATGAGTATGTCAATAAATTTTCTTTCAAAGAAACCACAGACATAAGTATGTCAAGCAGATAAAGCGAGTCATCATGTTCGCTTTTAAACAAGTATTTGAATAACCAAGCTTAATTACATGACGAAGAACTTTATCAGTGAACAGAAGGATGTAAAGCACATCTCCCATTTGAATGCATTAGGGCTTTTGGGCAAATAAGCAACCAAAAATCAGCAAACAATTGAAGCCAAACAGTTCAGAGCAGAGCACCAAGCAAGCAAGCCATCCGACCATCTCCTACCCAACACCGACAACTCAGATGCAGAAACTCATGGATTAAAATGCTCCAGATATCAAACAAGTAGCAAGCAATTTACACTTTCAACTCTAAAATCGTGTGATCATCTATATCTAACAGATACAACTTTGGGAAAGTTAAATTTATAAACTACCAAGTGCTCCATTTTTCTCTTTTCGTTTATTCTTATGCATATAATGCAATTTCCTTTGAAGTGGGTAACAATTGGGTTGAAGGAAAAATAAATAAAAGGCGAAAATTTCATTTACAGCAACACACGGTTCAAGTGCTCTCTCTAGAATACGAACTGGTCTCTTCGGCAACCTTTGACCACACATTTGAAATTTTTTCAGCATATCCCACCTGTTTCATTATACAACAGAACAATATGCGTTACATGGGCGTGAAAACAGCAATAAAGGATCTAAATGGAAATAGTAAATATTCAAAGAATGCCTTGCATATGACAAGCCACTATAATACACACGTCAGAGGTCACACATACATGTTAAAGCCAGGGGTAATTACATTTAACTTGTCTTTGGCTCAAAATAAGAAATATAGCTGCACCCTATGTCCTAAATAAGGCAAGGGGGAAATCAAAGCGGATAACAGAGTAAGTGCAAAGAAAACAAGTACTGTCAACTCAGTCTCAGTACACCAACCAAAGATGTTAAATCATAATTGAAGTGGGAGGAAAGTCGTTATTCCTACTATTGATCCATTAATTCTGTTAACCACCCTTGCCTTTTAAGGAGGGGGGGGGG